GGGGGGGTTTTTTCCGGGGAAGGGGGGGGCGGCTTTTAAAATTTTAAAACGGGGGGGGTTTTCCCCCCGGGGAGGGGGAGAAGCGCCAAAAAAAAAGGGAAAATTTTTTTTTGTTCCAGGGGGGGGGGGATTTTAAGGTAAACACCCGCAACCGGTTTTTTCTTGAGGGGAGGGAAATCCCCCCGAATTTTTCCCCCCGAAATTTTCCCCCCGAAATCCCCCCGAAATCCCCCCAAAATCCCCCCGAAATCCCCCCGAAATCCCCCCAAAATCCCCCCGAAATCCCCCCAAAATCCCCCCGAAATCCCCCCAAAATCCCCCCGGGGTTTTAGCCCCGAAAAACACCCCCAAAAATTAGCCCCCCCCCCCGATTAAAAAAATTTTGGGGCCCCCCCCCCCCCCCCCAAAGGTGCTGGGCTGGGGGTCCTACCCCCACGGGGGGTTCCTCCCCTTTTAAAACCTCACCCTGCCGGGGGGGGGGCCCCCCCCCCCCCCCCCCCACGCGCGGCACTGCCCTTGCTCCCCTGCGAGCTGGGTCTCCTCACACCCGCCGTGCGCTCTTAACAGGCGGTGGCACTTTGGAAACTGCACGCACCGCCCCAACGGGTGGAACTACGACACGTGCTGCGACTGCACCCACTTCTGCTTCTCGCCGGCGATGTGGGGCGCCCACCTGCACAGCCTGCTCGCGGTTCTGCGGCGTACGGCGGTCGCGGAGAAGCCGGCTGAGACCGTGCGCGAGAGGGTCGCGCGAGGCGCAGCTTGAGCGAAACACGCCGACGAGGGCTTACCCACAGGATTTAGGCATCGCTAAGAAAAAAACGGCAACGAGGGGGGCCTTAATTAAAAAGAGAAAAATCACCTTAACACTCGATCGTCTCGCCCTCCCTCGCTATCGCAGCGCACTCCCGCTCGCCGTCTGTGAGCCTAGCGCAGCGGCTAGCGCGAACTCGCCGTCTGAGCCTAGCGCAGCGGCGAACTCGCTCTGAGCCTAGCGCAGCGCCTCGGAAAACACCATTTTGGCTCGCCAACAAGCCCTCCAATAATAAATAAATAGAGCAAGCCCTCCACGCCCCTTAATTAAGCCCTTATGATAGAGGGAGCGGACCGTGAGTTGAGGAAATCGAGGGACGCGACCCACTTCGCCACAGACGGTCCCGCGCCTCGCCGCTATGACGGGCACACGCCCCGCACCGTCCGCTGTGTGCCCGTCTTTGTCCGGAGTGAAAAGTCCAACGCGCTCGTCGGTGGCGGCTTCCCTCAACCTGCGCCGCGCTCGGCGAACCTCGACAGCGCTTTCGGTGGCATGCAGCTCTTTGCGACAGAAGCCTGGAGAGCAGCTCCTCTGCTGCTCACACACTCTGCACAGTTGACACAGCCTACTGTGCGGCTGCCACAGCTGTGACAGCGATGGGCTCGCCCTCACTGGCCCTCAGTCACTTGTGCTGCGGCTTGTGTGAGCGACACTGCTCGGCGACTGCCGGCACACTGTGAGACCATGGGTGTGAGGTTAAACCACGCTACCAGCGCTTGGTCACATCGGCCCCGAGATCAGATCCTTCTACTCTGTTGATGACAAGACTTGTCTACTGGCTAAAGCCGAGCAGGAGGGCCCAGCGCATAACCCTTGGTCAACTCAGGGTCCACACCCCGTATCCGGTTTGAAAATTCTTTCTGGACGGCTACGGTGAGGACGACGGCTTCTGAGGAAGCCGTCGCCCGTGCCTTGCCTGTCGCGTGAATCGTGTTGTGCGACCGGATCCGCCCGGCGGCGCCCTCGCCCGGCGGCGCGAGCCCTTGCGCAGCCGGGTCTTGGTCTTGCGCAGCCGGGTCTTGCGCAGCCGGCTGGCGGCGCTGTTCGCGCTCGGCCTTGTCCTCGGCGAGCTGAGAGAGGATGCGGCGGCGCTCGGTGTCGTCCTTGCGGCGGAGCGCCTTGAGCTCGGCAGCCTTGTTAGACATTTGGCCAGGGTCCCCCCGGTCGGATCGGTCTTCTTGGCAGCACCTTTTCGGCCGGGGTCACCTTCGGCCGCGACTGGTTCGGGCTCCGTGATGTGAGGGAAGCGGATGGAAGGAGAGAATTTCCATGTTACGAAAAACGCAAAAACAAAATCCACGGCATGCACACGCACATGTCAACCATGAGTGCGAGAGATAGGGCTAGCAGTAGCCCGCTGTGGGCATCTGCCAGCGTCGGTCACCGGCCGACAGGTGCCGCGGGTGAGGCGGCTCGGCTGCATTTTGAACCATGACCACTCTGAGCAGGGCCGTGTATGTATGTATGTAGTAAGGTGAAGAACAGTCAGGCTCGGACTGGACACCAACGCGGTATGGGTGGACGCAAGACAGATGATGACGACACGCACGAGCGACACACAGACACAAACAAGCTCACAAGACACACAGCCAGCGGGCTGCCACACATCCTGAGTGGGCGTACACATCACTCAGGCCACGTCCCCCCTGTCGCCCCCCCCAGCACTCCAAGGTGCCAAGAGACAAACAACAGCACAACAACACAGACAGGCGACAGGCGCGAACGTGTGAGACTAGAGCAGGCTTGCTCCGCCTCTAGCAATCTCGTCGCCGGCCGCAAGGCACGGACGAGACCGTGTGTGGGGTCTTGTGAGGTGTCTATGGACGCCCTCCTCACAGGCTATTGGCCAGCCGCTAGCCCTAACTCGCACTCATGGGTGACGACAGTTCATTGGATGAGTGGTTGCGAGCAGAGGCGCGTGTGCTGAATCTAGATCGCACGCCGTGGCATATGACTTGGGTAGGCGTGCGACCGCAGCGCGCCCGCCGAAGGCTCGACCGGGCGCGCGTGTCAGCCAGAAGTTTGCCAGTAGAGCGATCCTGGTCTTTCCGAAGACGAGCCCCGCGCCACGGGTGCCAGCCGTGCCTCCGCGGGAGCCGCCTCTCGAGCCGCGTCCCGCCGGCACTGTCCCTGAGTGCGTCCCGCCTTGGTTGGCGACACGCACTCGACGAGGGCAGTCCAGCCGACGGGAACGTGTCGCGCGCCGGCGACGAATGCGGCGGGGTGGGTGTGGGTACCGAGCGCCGCTTCGGCGAAGCGAGGTTGGCAGGCGCCCCTCACGAGTCCGTTCAGACATGCCACACGCCCCTCGCAAGCGAGGTTAGTAGGCGCCCCTGGCGAGACCCGCAAGAGATGCCACACCACCCTCGTACCTATACTCCACCAATGAGAAGGTGAAGAGATCTTATCGGCCAGGCGGGCAGGGCAGGCGGGCGGGCGGGCGGGCGGGGTCGGTGGAGACTATTCCTAGCGGGGTATCCCCTCCCGACCCACCTTCCGAACGGCCTACACCCTATCCAGGCTCCGAACATAGTTGGTTTACGGGTCAGTCGGGGGACCCACTAGGGGGCGGCCCCTCACACGACTGCCCAGTGGGCCCAGGGATGGCGGTGGCGAGTCACTCCGGAGCAGAATAGAGGTGCGCACGAGGCAGGTGGCATAGCACTGCCCACCCCCTTCCACCCCCCCTCGCCCTTCGCAGCCTCGGCCGTGCTTTGGTGGGGTCCGCTTCCTCCTATCCAGCTTGCAGCCCGAACCCTGGCACATGACCAGGTGCGAGGCGGCGGTGGGCGGCGCGGGCGGCGCCTCCTCGGGCGAAGCGGCCTCTTCCAGCTCGCTGGGCAGCCTTCCCAAAGAGGCGGCGGCAGCAGCTATTAAAGGCGACGACGCGGCGCTGCTGGCGTGGCTCCACAGCGGCGGGCGGGTCAACGCGACTTGTGGGGCAGGCAATGTGAGCGGCATCACCGCGCTGATGACCGCCGCCCAGTTTGGCCACGAGCGAATGGTCGAGCTGCTGCTGCAGCACGGGGCGGAGATCAACCTGCAGAGCAGCGACGGCGACACCGCGCTGATGGACGCCGCCAACAACGGCCTCGAGCGAGTGGTCGAGCTGCTGCTGCAGCACGGGGCGGATGTCAACCTGCAGGACAGCAAAGGCTACACCGCGCTGACGGTCGCCGCCAGCAACGGTCACCCCGCCGTCGTGCTCCGCCTGCTGCGGGCGGGCGCGGATACAAAGCTGCGCTCTGAAAGCGGCAGGACGGCGCTGCAGTGGGCCAAGCAGAAGGGCCTTTCCGCGTGCGTCGAGGCTTTCCGGCAGCACGTCGCGGAGGTGACTGCGAGCCGGCACGAGGCGGCGGCGGGCGGCGCGGGCGGCGCTTCCTCGGGCGAGGCGGCGGCGGGTTCGACGGCCGCGGCTTCTTCGGCCGTGACAGCAGCTATCCAAGGCGACGAGACGGCGCTGCTGGCGTGGCTCGACAGCGGCGGGCAGGTCAACGCGACTTGCGGGATGGGCGATGTGAGCGGCATCACAGCGCTCATTGGCGCCGCCCGGTTTGGCCACGAGCGGGTGGTCGAGCTGCTGCTGCAGCGCGGCGCGGAGATCAACATGCAGAACAGCGTCGGCGGCTTCGCGCTGATGGGCGCCTCAAGCCAAGGCCACGAGCGAGTGGTCGATTTGCTGATTCGGCGCGGCGCTGACGTCAACCTGAAGAACAGCGACGGCGACACCGCGCTGATGGACGCCGCCACCAACGGCCACGAGCGGGTGGTCGAGTTGCTGCTTCAGCGCAGCGTGGAGATCAACCTGCAGAACAGCAACGGCGGCACCGCGCTGATGTACGCCGCCTACAACGGCCACGAGCGAGTGGTCGAGCTGCTGCTGCAGCGCGGCGCGGAGATCAACAAGCAGGACAGCCGAGGCGGCACCGCGCTGATGGGCGCCGCCAACAACGGCCACGAGCGAGTGGTCGAGCTGCTGCTGCAGCACGGGGCGGAGATTAACATGCAGAACAGCAAAGGCTACACCGCGCTGATGGTCGCCGCCAGCCACGGTCACCCCACCGTCGTGCTCCGCCTGCTGCGGGCGGGCGCAGACACGGCGCTGCGCTCCGAGAGTGGCAGGACGGCGCTTCAGCTGGCCAAGGAAAAGGGCCACGCCGAGTGCGTGCGCGTCATCGAGGAGCATGCGGCGGCGGAGGCGGAGGTGGAGGCAGCGCGGCATGCCGAGGCGCTGCTGGCGGAGGAGGAGGCGGAGAAGGAGGCGGGGGGGCGCGACAAGGAGAGCAAAAAGGGCAAGAAGAAGAAGAAGAAGGGGAAGGGCGGAGGTGGAGGCGCTGGGCCGTCGCGGGAGCCCGAGGATGAGGCAGCGCTGGCGGCGGGAGAGGAGGCGGAGTTGGCGGCGGCGCTCGAGGAGAGCGCGAGGCTGGAGGAGGAGAGGCAGGCGCCCGACGAGCAAGCGTCGTCCTCTTTGGCTGCAGAGAGGCCACCTTCGGTGGAGGAGGAGGAGCCGCCGGCCGACTTCGTCTGCCCAATCACGACCGAGGTGATGAGCGACCCGGTGATGGCAGCGGATGGGCAGTCGTACGAGCGGATGGCGATCGAGCGCTGGCTCGCGACCAAGTCGACCAGCCCGCTGACGGGCGAGGAGCTCGAGTTCACTCGGCTCTTCCCAAACCACACACTCCGCCGGGTGATCCGACAGTGGCAGGAAACCGCTCGCAGCTGACACGCTTGTGGCGGGGTCAGTGCCTGTCACTGCATTGGTTGGTGCACCTGACCTGACAGAGATCAGAGTGTCACTGACAGTCCTTCTACATCGAGCATCCAGCAGCTTTCTCAGGGTGCATGGCCATGGGGCCCTCTCTGCCTCTCAAAAATAAATGAGAGAGGGGAGAGATATCTCGAGAGATCCCTGGGCTGATTTTTTGTGAGAAGCGCGCACGCACACACAAGCGCCGAGACACGCGTATTGGGAGTATAGAGCGGCCGCTCAGACCTCAGTAATAAATAAATAAATACAACGGACATCCCAAGCTAGGGCTGGGTCGAGGACAAATGGGGTTTGTGGAGCGTCCAGGGATGTCCAGAAGGTCCAGAAGGTGTCCAGAAGATGTCCAGAAGGTGTCCAGAAGATGTCCAGAAGGTGTCCAGAAGGTTGGAAAAGAATGTGGGAACGTCTAGAGGGTCCTCTGCAGGTGTGCAGAAGGCCTCAGGTGTTCTACCGAAGGTCTCACTCAGTCAGGTTAAGCCGTAGGTCACACGTGTCTCAAAGAGTCGCCTCCACGAGTGAGCAACCCAGTCAGTCATGGGCTTTGAAAAGTAGACATTGTGGTTTGCTGGTGAAGGCCTGCGGGCCTTCTGGACATTCTGGACATTTGCTAAAGCTTCTAAAGCACCTTCTGGACATTCTGGACATTTGCTAAAGCTTGCTCACTCGCGCCGAAGGGCGTGTTGGGAAGATTCTGTGATTACCGCTGCGTGGTCGCTCGGTGGCCGTCGCGATCGGTCGTCCCGTGCCGGCCTCGGCCTCGCGGCCCTCGCACACCTTGGGTTCGTCTAAATTCGAATCGCCGTTGTGGAGTACGGGCGCGGCAAAGACGGCGCCTCGACAGCGCCTCGACGGCGGCCGCAAAAGCCGTCTCATGCACGTCGCCGCGCGGCCTCGAGGCGCCGCGAGCGTGCACTGCGGTCAGCACTACCCGCTCCGGCCCGAGACGCCCGACGCGCGCGCGCGCGCGCTCTCTCCCACCTCTCCACCCAGACGCTCCACGGTCGCTGTGTCGCAGCTGTGTCGCGGCATAACCACCGAGCCGCAGCGCGGCGCTCGGCCCGCGCCGCCGTCTCACGAGCTCGTCTCTCGCCCGCCGCGCAGGCGAAAACCAACTCGATGCCTCAAGGCTTGACTCGAACGACTCTCGTCACTGTACCCGCCCTCGTGCCACGCTGCAGCCGCCGCTCTCGTCTCTCCTCTGTCGCTTCGCCGCGGTCGCGGCCGCACGGAGGTGCCACGGGCGGTGCGAGTGATACTCCGCTTCGCGCCGTCCGGCTCCATATACTGCGACTGTCGCGCCGCGGATGAGTGCGGTTTGTCCTGCCCCGCGCGCCTCGCGCCGCCGCGGCACTTGTTTATAGTTTTTTTTGCTTGTTTGTTGTTGTATACCGCCTTGAGATGTAACAATCACAGATTCAGTAAGAGTCTGATGGGTATGACCACACTTGGAGAGGTGTACAGAATGTCCAGAATGTCCAGAAGGTGTCCAGAAGATGTCCAGAAGGTGTCCAGAAGATGTCCAGAAGGTGTCCAGAAGGTGTCCAGAAGGCTTCTGGTCAAAATGCAGCTATTTAACCTTTCGCCATTTGAGAAGGCCAGCTCCCCACCCCTGGCTTAATTAGTAGAGAGAGAGAGAGAATTCTTGATACGAAACCACGACGACACACACCAGTCGACTCGCATCGGTTGCCTCCATGAACGGCGGAGCTATTCTCGCGCCCACACCACACCTGGCTCCAACGTGGACACGCCCATAGCTGGGGACACTACTAGGTCACGCATGGCATCACAGAAGTTTTATCTCTGGGCCCCGAAAGGCATCTCTAGCAGTGTCGTTACACATGCCCCCTCCCCTCCTGGGCGCATGCGCCTCACGTCTCACCAGAGCATAAGCCCTTGGCGTGTGGCGAGACGAGTTTTTCGCCATCGCAGCGAGCAGCAAGCCGCCCGCCGCAAACAGCCGGAGGCCTCGCCGCGGCACTGGCTGCGCCGCGGTCCCGCACCCGTCGACGCAGCTCCCCCCGCGGAAGACCGCGCGTAGCAACGTCTTGACGATCGAGATGAGCGTGCCTGAAGCTCGCCCACCTACTGCCCCTGAGAGTTGGTTATTGAGTGGGATCAGCTCCCCCCCTTGGGATCGAAGCCGCCACAACCTCACACCCAACATCCCAGGCGGGATCAGAAGGGGACTCCACACCGGACACCGCCCGGGCACAGCCCCCCTACCCGTCGGATCGCACAGAGGGCCCCCTCGGAGCAGCCCACACACAATCACGCATCGGCAGATTGAGTGCCTGAGTCAGGCAGACAGCACAGACAAGAGGAGAGAGAGGAGAGAGAGAGAGAGAGAGAGGAGAGAGGAGAGGGTGAGGGTGTGAACACACGTGAGGAGTGGGGGAGGGTGTCTGTGGTGGGCTGTAGTCCTACTACGTGGTTAGAACCACGCGCCCCTCAGGAGCTTAAGGTAGAGCTGAGCGTCCAAGACGCCTCGGTGCCTCCCACCGGCGTGAAGACCATCCGGATCTACCGGACGCGCCCTCCGGGCGGGTCCGTCCCCGCGATGGCCCACGGTCCTCCGTCGCCTGGTTGAACCCCCTGCCTCCCGGTTGACCCCCCGGTCCCCGTACTCCACCATGAAATAAACTCAAAGTCCACCACAGCCACCACCCTCCACCTCCACCGTCGAGCCGCGATCGCTGCCGCCCGCGACGCCGCCCGCCGCGTCAGATAGCCGCGACGCGCGCATCGAGTCGCGTCGGAGAGCCGCGCCGCACCAGCAGCAGCATCTGCACCACCACCAGCAGCAGCAGCACCACCACCACCACCCGAGAGAGAAGCGCACCTGCCCGACGCCGCCCGCCGCGTCAGACGCTCGCGACGCGCGCGTCGAGCCCAGTCGCACAGCCGCGCCGCGCCAGCAGCAGCATCGGCACCAGCAGCAGCAGCACCACCACCACCAGCACCAACAGAGACAGGCAGTGCAGGCGCAGAGGCGCTCGCAGAGCGGCGCTCAGCGCCGCGCACGCCACGCTGCGGACCGTCGGGCGAGCGCACCGTACGTCGGCGGCGAGCCGCGTCGCCAGCCGTCTCGCGAGAGAGCGGCGCCGCCGCGTGCGCGCAGCAGCCGCCGCGGCAGAGGCGAGCCGCGGCGACGTCCGCACTAACGGATAACGGCCATTGGCGGTTTTCGCTCTCTCTCTCTCTCTCTCTCTCTCTCTCTCTCTCTCTCTCTCGCTTAATTAGTAATAGATCTAGATCTTTCAATTGTGCCGCTCTCAAATCTAGTCTGGTTCAGAATGGCGTCCGCGGTCCCGAGATATTACGTAACAAAGGTTTCCCTGGACGCTCCACAAACCCTATTGACAGACACGTCCCCACCTTTGCAGGATTTTGCAAACGCGAGGGGGGAGGGCGCATCGCCGCGCGGAGAGGGCTGGGCACAGGGCACAGGGGATCTCTCTCGACCTCAGTGCCGTGCGTCAGCCTGTATCTGAGAAATTCTTTTGGATGAACGCACGGGCCCACATTTGGAGCACCGACATTGGGAGCACCGACACAGTTTGTTGGCGAGATCCCGACGAGCCCACACTAGGACCCTCGTCGCATATGGGTGCCTCGCATCCCACTCAAGACATATATCCACGCCGGTCCCTGCTCCTGCCTCCGCCTCAGCCGAACTCATATAACACCGCCGCGGCTCGTCTGTCCTTCAGGCGGCTGCAGCTCCAAATCCGACGAGACTAGCATCCGGACTGTCAGCGTTTACAAATCGACGCAGCAAGACGAACTGGGTGTGCGGCTCAGCAACAGCCGCAGCCGCAGCCGCAAAGGCCCTGTCGCGCTCAAACCTGACAAGTCCTTCGGAGAGCGCGCTGTCGGGTACGGCCAGCTTCTCGCTGTCAACGGCGAGCCCGTGCACAGCACCGAGCACGCAGCCTCGCTCATCAAGGAGGCGCCGCCTCCACGCTCAGAATCCCACCCTCCACCCTTGCTGAAAGCGCCGCCCGCCCCTCTCCCTCATTTGACGCGATTCGTGCCGTCTGTAGGCGGAGGGCGAGGTGACCCTGATGGTCGTGTCAGAAGGCCGAAACCGCCGCCGCAGCAGCTCGTCGGTGCGGGAGGACGAGGAGTATATGCGTCAGCTGCGCGCGGAGAGGCTCCGGCGCGGCCTCCCCGAGAACCCGTCGCCACAGCCCGACACGCGGGCGCAGGATGGCGCGGAAGACTGCGGTGTGGCCTGCGGTGAGCGACGCCTCTACACCGCCCGCATCGCCACGGACTCTCGCCTCCAGCCTCTGACACGTCCTTCCCATTCGAAGCTCACGCGCTGCCCCAACGCCCGCGTGTGCCCCTCAGGACTGTGCCTGTGCCTCGTAACGGGAGAAATGGTGGTATGAAGGAGAGCTGATGAGGCGACCAAAGAGACGACGACGATCCCGATCCGCCAAAGAGAGTAAAACAGCCGATCAAAGAGGGGGTTTGTTTGTGTTTCTCGCTGTCGGCCTGTGGTTAATCACTCTTACGATTCTCACGGGCGCGCGCCCCCCTCCCTGTCCCTCTCTGCACTCTGGCCGGGCCCGGGGGCGCCCGGGCGGGGCGAAGAGGCTTCAAAAGTGTGTTTCTCGGGTCCGTTGGCCTCTTTTGTAGGGAAGAATTTTGATACCCGTCAAGACGCCTGCTGGGGGCAGGTTCGTAACGAAGCCGTCTGCTCCCCCAGCAGGTACACACTAGACAGATACCAGGAGGAGAAAGGGGACGGTGGTGGGTTCGCGACGAGGAGAGAAGGAGGTACTGGCGACGCGCACAGACTGACGTCAGCTCTGCTTCTGAAGTGCACCTCTGACGTCTGAGGCACCTCAGAGGAAACGACGCACTTGTCGTAACTTTTCGTCAGATTCGATCTCGTCGCCAGACTTCGATTTCTTTCTCTTTGTCAGGCCATGTGCCGCTCGCTCGCCCGCCCAAGTGGCTTGGACGCGCGGTCGAGGGCACCCCACCTTTCTTGGGACGCGCTGGCGCTCACCAGCGATCGTCCCCCCACCCATCCACCCTTTTTTCTTTGAGGCTGTCGCTCCGAGAAAGCTCGTCTCGCAGTGAGTGAGTGAGTATATTCTTGATACGAAACCACGACGACACGGACACCGCCCGGGCACAGCCCCCCTACCCATCGGATCGCACAGAGGGCCCCCTCGGAGCAGCCCACACACAATCACGCATCGGCAGATTGAGTGCCTGAGTCAGGCAGACAGCACAGACAGGAGAGAGAGGAGAGAGAGAGAGAGAGAGAGGAGAGGGGAGAGGGTGAGGGTGTGAACACACGTGAGGAGTGGGGGAGGGTGTCTGTGGTGGGTTGTAGTCATACTATCTCTCTCTCTCTCTCTCTCTCTCTCTCTCTGTGCTGTGAGAGAGGCTTGTATTTTAAGAATTCTTTGTTGAATTCTTTGTGCACGAGACGCCGCACACACGCTGCTTCTCACTACAATCCACGTACGCGCGAAAGCGCAACAATGCCCTGCGCGCCGTCCTGCACCCCGACGGTCCTGGCCAACCGCGCCGGAGCTTTCTCGTGCGCCGCGCGTCTTGGCTGGCTCCAGTCCACGCGCGGCGGCGGTCTCACCGAGCACGCCGCCTGCACCACGGTTGCGGGCGAGTTTCCGATCGAGTGTGGCGACTGCGCGCCTTTGAGCCTCGTGGCGCAGCCGCATGCTGCCAGCAGAGTAGTGCCGCCCGCCGCGCCACCGCCGTCCCCTCCCTGGCACCTGCTCAAACTCCCACGCCCGAGCCCGCCGCCGCCGCCGCTGCCGCCCGGGATGCCTCCGCCGACATGGCCGCCGTCACCACTCCCTCCGTCGCCTCCAGTCGCGCCACCGCTCCCTCCGCCGCCGTCCCCCTCGCCGTCACCCCTCTCCCCGCCGCCCACCGCGAAGCCGCCGCACGCGCCGCCGCCGAACGCACCGCCGCCGCCACCCCCGTCTTCCCCGCCGTCGACGCCGCCGCAACCTCCGGCGGCGGCGCCGTCTGAGCCGCCTCCGCCGCAACCGCCGGCGGCGGCGCCGCCTGAGCCGCCGCCGCCGCCGCCGCCGCCGCCGCCGCCGCTGCCGCCACCTCCGCCGTCGCCGCCGCTGCCGCCGCCGCCCCCGCCGCCCCATACGCCGCCCCCCCCGCCGCCTCATACGCCACCACCGCCGCCGCCGCCTCCAACGCCGCCGCCACCGACCCGCCCTCCGCCTGGCCTCTGGCATGACCCGATCGAGGGCAGCGACGGATGCTGCAGGACGGATGCCGTGGGCGTCAGCACGCCTCATGCGAGCACCTTTACCCGCGCGTGGGCCGCCGGCCTGGAAGAGTGCAAAGGCAGGTGCCTCACACACCTGCAAACATGCACCGCCATCGGGTACAACAGAGTGAGCCAGGCTTGCGAGGTGCACACCTCCCCCGCAGTCGCCCACACGGCGGCGGGAACGCCGTGCACGTGTCTGCTCTTCAAGACGGCGCCTCCGCCGCCGGGTGCCCCGCCGCCGCCACCAACTTCGCCGCCATCGACGCCTCCGCCGCCGCTGCAACCACCAACTTCGCCGCCGGCCGTGAGGCTCATCCTTGACACCGACATGGGGTGTGGCGCTTGCCGCGACGTCGACGACGTCGTTGCCTTGTGCGCCCTCCATGCGCTGGCGGACAACGGCGAGGTGGAGCTGCTCGCAGTTGTGCAGGACAGCGCGCCGCCCGCAGGAGCAGGCGTCATCTCTGTGGTGAACCACTTCTACGGCCGCGACCACATACCGATTGGCGCGTACAAGGGGTCTGGGCTGACGCTGGCGGGAGAGCCTCCGCTCACGTTTGTCGACAGTGTCCTGAAAGCCTTCCCTTCGCCGATCCGGAACGCCTCACAGGTGCCGGACGCCGTCGACGTGTACCGGCGCGTGCTCGCCGCCTCGCCGCCGCGTTCAGTCACAATCGCGTCTGTCGGTCTGCTGACGAATCTGGAGCTCTTGCTTCGCTCGGGCCCCGACGCGCATAGCCCCTTGGACGGCCCCTCTCCCTCATCAAGCAGCGGCCTAACACGTGGAGAAGTGCTCGTTACTGTCTCTGAGAGCCTCCCCTGTAGGCTACGCTTTGGTGGCCGAAAAGGTGGCTCTCCTCTCAATCATGGCGGGAGACTACGCGACGAGCGGGCCTCGCTTCGCCGAGTGCAATGCGTGCGGCTGTTTCAACGGCGCGGACGCCGTCTCCAGGGCGACCGCCGCAGCCGCGTCCTCTTTCGTCGCAGCAAACGTGCCGCCGTCCGTCCGTACCATCTACCTCGGGTGGCGCGTCGGGGACGTGGTGCGGACTGGCGCGGTGATGGAGCTGTGCGCAGCGCCGGCCAACCCGTGCCGGCACGCCCTCCTAGCGAGCAAAGTAGCTCCACGCGCCCACGCGACCAGCGACACAGGTGACGCGGCCTTACGGTGTGGACTCTAGGCACGCCCTGATGGACTTTCGCGACCGGGCGGGCTGGGGGTGGGGCCCGGGAGGCCGCTCCAGCTACGACCCGCTAGCCGCCCTCCTAGCGGTGCGCGGAGTCAGCCGCGAGGGCGTGGGCTTGAGCGAGTGCACGCAGTGCGACGGCGTCAACTCGATCGACCCAAAGAGCGGCAAGAATGAGTGGTTGCCGGGGCGGCGAAGCAACCAGAGCTATGTCGAGCTCACGGACCGGATGAGAGCGCAAGAAGCGATTGATGCGCTCCTCTGCCAGCCACGGCCGCCGCCGCCGCCGCCGCCGCCGCCGCCGCCGCCGCCGCCGCCGTTGCCGCCGCTGCCGCCGCCGCCGCCCCATACGCCACCGCCGCCGCAGAGCGGCGGCGAGAGCGTGCTCGTGCGTCCGGGTCACCTCTCCGAGGTGGCGGCTGCTCCTCCAGTGCCGCCCGTGCCGCCTGCGCACGTCGCCAAGGGCGACACGCCGTCGGAGAGTGCGACGCCCTCGTGGGAGGGCCTCCTCGCCCGCGCATCCCGCATGGCGCAGTCGGTTGGCCAGTCCCTCGCGGAGGCCCTTGAGCTCGACGCGGCAAGCGGCGTGCAGCGGCGGCTGCTAGGGAGCGTCGAGCTCTCAGCCCTGCTCGGAGCCGTCGCCGCCTGCTGCTGCGTCGCCTGCCGGCGGCGGCGGCGAGAGAGGCGGTTCGATCAGCTCGCCGACGAGCCTGACCAGCCGGACCACCAGGAGCTGCACGGCGAGGGGAGGTCCGAGGCCTTTGGCACCGAGCGCAGGAAGAAGCAGGTGGCGCCGCAGCGGGGAGACCGCGTCACAAGCTGCTGTGAACAGCGTCTCTTCACACCTCTAGCTGTGAACAGGTGCCGCAGCGGGGAGACCGCGTCAAGCACGGCAGGCGCGGCGAGGGCACGGTGGCCGAGCTGCTGCCCGACGGCCGCTCGCGCATCGTCTTCGACGAGGAGGAGGAGCACGGCGAGCACCGCTACATCGGGCAGCTGGAGGGGGCAGCGCCGCTCGACTCGCCGCAGCGGCGGCAGGCGACGCGGTCGCACGTCGAAGAGGCGGCACGGCGAGCGAAGCTCGAGGCGAGCGCCGCGGCCGGCAGGCGCGCGCTGAAGGAGCTGCAAAAGGAGCAGGCACGGCAAAAGGAAGCGCAGCAGGAGGCGCAGACCCGCCAGCTGCTGCGGGCGCAGGAGCTCGGCCAGACGCAGCCCAGCCTTGCCCGGAGCCCCAGCCCGGTCCGGCTCTTGTCTCGCCTTGAATCGCGTGCGCGTTCATTCTCTTGATAAGCCCATCCCGTAGCCTCAGCCCTGTCCCTGCCCGGAGCCGCCTCGGGGAGCGAGTCGTGCTCGGCGGGCTCTCGGCCCGCCCCGATCTCAACGGGCGGCGGGGCGTGGCGCGGAGCTTTGAGGGAGACCGAGACCCAGGCGGCGGCCACTACGTGGTGCATCTCGAGGGCAGCGGCCAAAGCGGGGAGGGGGGGGGGTGAGGTTGTGCGGGTGCGGCCGGAGAATCTGGATGGATTGTGAGTCCGACCCGGCCGCGCTCGCGCGGGCGCCGCCGCACTTTCGCGAGGCGTGGCTCTGAGCACCCGTGGGGGGGTGGGGGTGGGAGGGTGGGTGGGTGGTTAATGACTTGAGTAAGGGAAGGCGATTGCGCAGCCGGCACCTCCATATCCAGCGCGGCCCCAGTTGTTTCTACTAGACGAGACTCTGTGGGGAAAAGAATAGATGTTCCGACGTCGACTCGAGTCCGAGAGGAGCGGAGAGAGGATTGGCGAGTGTGGCCCGAGGCCGAGCGCAGGACCTGACGCAGGACGGAGGGGGAGAGCGAGAGGCTGCCGGCGCGCGGGGCGGGAGCGAAAACTCTGCACTCGGCACTGGACTGGCACTAACCACCGCGGCGGGAGCCGCAAAGAAGAAAGAATCAAACAAGCTGGACGAGCTGTACCATACCGCAAAAAGTCCGAACCCTGCAAGTAAAGATGGCAGGCTCGCGCGCGACGCTGCCGGCGCCGCTCTCCTGGCAGAGCCTCGCGGAGAGCGGGCGGCTCGCCCGCGCGCTTGACAGGGAGAGCGCGGCCGCCCCGCACCTCCGAAAGCTCCGCCTCACCCTGGAGCCCAAAGCGGAGCCGCACACGCTGCGGCTCAAAATGCCGTGCGACTGCGGGAGCTGCATCGTCAAGGCACAGATGAAGGCGGGCGCCTCCTGCCTGGTGCTGGTCTGGAACGAGGAGAAGCAGAAGTGCTCGCTCCGCCTCAAAGAGCTCGCGGACGCCGCGCCAAGCGAGGGGCCGCCTGCGCCCGCCGCCGGCGTTGCGGCTGCAGAGGCGGACACTCAAGCGGCGGCAAGCACTGCCACTGTCGAGGCGGCGGGCGGCGAGGGCGGCGAGGGCGGCGAGGGCGGCGAGGGCGGCGAGCGAGGCGAGCGAGGCGAGGGCGGCGCGGGCAGCGCGGGCGGCGCGGGCGACGCGGGCGGCGGCGAGGGCGGAGAGGGCGGAGAGGGCGGAGAGGGCGGAGAGGGCGGAGAGGGCGGTGGGGGCGGCGAGGGCGGCGAGGAGGGTGGCGGCGACGAGGAGGCCGGCGGTGGCGGAGGCGGCGGCGGCAGCGGTGGCGGTGGCGAGGCTGCGCTGCCGGGAAACAGCGCAGCGTGTCCGATGGAGCTGGACAGCGACGACGAGCCGGAGCCGGCGGCTGCTACGGAGCTTGCGGCCTCTGCGGAGGAGAGCGAGCAGAGCCCGCCCCTGCTGGCGCCCGCGGCGGCGGCGGCAGGAGCAGAAGAGCCGGCGCCGCTGGAGGAGGGAGCGGCGGCGGATGCGGCAGCGGAGGCGCCCGTGGCGGTCGCGGAAGGCTTGCGTCTGCATTTGTTTAGCAGCAGCACGGGATACAAGGGCGTGTACTCGCGAGACGGCCGCTTCTACGCGCAGCACAGTGTGGGCGGAAGAAATGTCCCACTAGGCCGCTTCGACACGGCGGTGGAGGCGGCGGTGGCGTACGCGCGAGCGGTCGGGGAGTACCAGCCTCCGCCTCCCCCGACCGTGGCGGCAGAGGCGGAGGGGCTGCGGCTGCACCTCTCCAGCAGCAACGTGACCGGCTACAAGGGGGTGTCTATATCTACGCATCACAGTGGCGGCTTCCGGGCGGAGCACTATGTGCGCCGAAGGCCAGTCCACGTCGGACGCTTCGACACGGCGGTGGAGGCGGCGGTGGCGTACGCGCGCGCGGTCGGGGAGGCGCCGGAAGCGGGCTCGGCGGTGGCAGCAGCAGCAGGGCAAGCGTCAGCAGCATCGCTGGGCGAGACGGCAGAAGGCGCAGCCGCTGCCGAGCCGGTGGAGGCGGAGGCGGCGGGCGCGGCGGCGGCGGCAGGGGCAGAGCAGCCGGCGCCGCTGGAGGAGGGAGCGGCGGCGGATGCGGCAGAGGAGGCGCCCCTGGCGGAGGAGGCGGAGGGCTTGCGTCTGCATTTGTCCAGCAGCAGCAATGCTGGCTACAAGGGGGTGCGCAAGGACTTGCGACACGGCCGCGTCTACTTCTACGCGCAGCACAGTGTGGGCGGAAGAAATGTCACGCTAGGCCGCTTCGATACAGCGGTGGAGGCGGCGGTGGCGTACGCGCGGGCGGTCGGCGAGTACCAGCCTCCGGCTCATCCTCCCCCGACGGTGGCGGCGGAGGCGGAGGGTCTGCATCTGCACCTCTCGAGCAGCAACGCCACCGGTTACAAGGGCGTGTTCAAGCAGCCCTCTGGCCGCTTCCTGGCGCAGCGCACTGTGGACGGAGGGAGGGTCTGGCTCGGCACCTTCGACACGGCGGTGGAGGCGGCGGTGGCGTATGCGCGGGTGGTCGGCGAGGCGCCGGAAGCGGGCTCGGCGGTGGCGGCAGCAGCAGGGCAGGCGTCGGCGGCACCGCCACCGTTGGGCGAGGCGGCAGAAGGCGCAGCCGCTGCCGAGCCGGTGGTGGAGGAGGCGGCGGGCGCGGCGGCGGCGGCAGGGGCAGAAGAGCCGGCGCCGCTGGAGGAGGGAGCGGCGGCGGCGGCGGCGGCAGCGGAGGCGCCTGTGGCGGAGGTAGCGGAGGGGCGTCGGCTGCACCTCTCGAGCAGCAGCGCTACCGGGTACAAGCACGTGTACTCGCGAGACGGCCGCTTCCAGGCGCGGCGCCGGATGGGCGGCAGGCAGGTCTCGCTCGGCTACTTCGACACGGCGGTGGAGGCGGCGGTGGCGTACGCGCGAGCAGTCGGCGAGTACCAACCTCCGGCTCAACCTCCTCCGCCTCCTCCGACGGTGGCGACAGAGTTTGAGGGGCTGCGGTTGCACCTCTCCGGCAGCCACGCCACCGGCTACAAGGGGGTGTCTAAGCATCACGGTGGCCGCTTCCGGGTGCAGCACAGGGTGGACGGAAGAAAGATCCAAGTCGGCGGCCTCTTCGACACTGCGGTGGAGGCGGCGGTGGCGTACGCGCGGGCGGTCGGGCAGGCACCGGACCGCTCCTCCTCTTCCGCCGCCGGTGGCAGCGGCGCCCGGCCCCGCCCAGCAAAGCGCCCGCTCGAGCCGACCGACGCGCCGCTGCCGAAGCGGCGCTCTAGCCGCGCCGCCGCCGCCGCCCCCTCGGCTGCCTCCTCCTCCTCCACCCCTCCCGCCGCTTCCTCCTCCTCTTGCTCCTCCTCCACCGCACCCACCGCACCCACCGCACCCACCGCACTGGCCGCGCCCGCCACCGCCGCCCGCCCCGCCGCCTCCGCCTCCACCTCCACTGCCGCCGCCGCCGCCCCCACCTCCACCGCCGCCCCTGCCGGCCCCTCGCCGCTCTCGAGCCGCCTGTTCACGACCACACCGGACGGGCGCACCGTGCTGAGGGAGACGCCCCCTCCGCCCACGGGCGGCATGGCGGCCGTCGCCGCGGCGCTGGCGCAGGTCAACCTGCAGGCCTACGCCGCCGCCTTTGACGCCGAGGGCTACGACGACATCTCGTTCTTGCGCGGACTGGACGCCGCCGAGCGGGCGGACGTGGCCAAGGAGACGGGGATGAAGCCCGGGCACGCGGGAAGGTTTGTCAAGTTCGGCTTCGAGCCGCCCTGAGCGAGCCCGCCGCTAGGGGCTCAGCCCTGGATCAGAGTCGGGTCCCGACAGGAGCTCTGTCCCAGTACATTTCGAAGCCATGGCCTCAGGGAGCGGGGGCGAGGGCGTTGGGAGCAACACGGACAAAAAACATATTAAAATTCATCATGTTCACACCACCCGTATTTGCAACTAGTCACATACGTAGAACGTACGACATATCAATCACCCCATGTGTCATGCGCCATGTGAGATGGGTTCCGTGCAATGCTCGAGTACTCGCTACACGGCGCTCTACCGCCGTACCGCCCGGTCTGACTCCCGGCGCGTCACCTCAGTGTGGCCGAGTGCTCGCCTAGCTGGGCCGTCTCCTCCTTGGACGGCACGCACCGTAGCCAGCAACGCCGCCGATCCTCGCCGCCGCCCTTGCCGTCCGCCTCGATGTCTCGGGCGCCGGCAGCGCGCAAGCGAAGCACAACGTCGTTGTGTCCCGCCATCGCAGCCAGAGCGAGGGCCGTTCGCCCGCGAGCGTTCTTTAGGTCCGGGTCCGCGCGGCGCGTGAGGAGCAAGTCGACGGCCCCGAGGTTGCCCGTCAGAGCTGCGAAATGCAGTGGCGCCGCGCCCGGCATGTTGTCAAAGAGCTCGAAGAATGGGGGGGGCCTCGAAAGCCAGTCGAACACCAAGCAGACAGCGCGGCTGATGAGCATTAGGGGGGGGGTTGCTGCCGTCGAAGAGCTGGAACAGAGCGCCCGCGGCGTGCGCCGGTTGACGTCGCAGCCCTGGCTGATGCAAAAGTCGAGCGTCTCGACGTCGCCGACGCCGAGGGAGAGGTTCACCGTGAGAAGGCAAGCGCCGAAGCCGTCAACTGACTGCAGGCTGGCGAAGACGGCCTCCCGCTGCTCGGGCGCGGCGTCGCGCAAATAGCACTGGATGCCGTCCTTGCGGCCAAACAAGGCGGCGATGCCCACCGGCAAATCGCCGAAAGCGGTGACGGAGCGCAGCATGGCGCCGCCGCAGCGCTCCATCAGGACACGGATGTTGCCGGCGTGGCCGCCAGCGAGGGCGGTGTGGAGCGGGGTCGCACCAACTTCCTTATCGTGCCGCGTCGGGTCCGCGCCAGCGTCGAGGAGCAGACTGACCAGCTCGGGCGCATCGCGAAAGCGGCACAGCCGGTACAGAATGGTCTCGCCTCGGATAAAGTCGAACGAGGGGTGCCCTTGCGCGAGTGGGGCTTCGACGTCTGCGCCCGCCGCAATCAGCTCGCTGGCGAGGTCGCCGCGGCGTGCCAGGACTGCGAAGCGAAGCGGCGTCAGTCCGGAACGGCGCCCGTCGGTGGGCGAGGAAAACTGCATGCGGTGCAGCCAGGCGTCGAGTGGCTCACTCTGCTGAGGGAGGTCCACTTCGCTGCCCGTGCCCGCGAGGATGGCCTCGGCGAGCGCCTGCGCGCCCGAGCAGCTCAGCTTGCACGGAACTGTGAGGCAGCAGATACAATGCGCATAGCAGCTACGTTTGCACGGATTTGTGGGTTGGCCGACGCGTTGCTACGCCGGTGGCTCGACACCGACTTTGAAAGGGTTGATGCTGCGCCGAACTACGCTAGGCCTCGTACCGTGAGCACGCGGTACCAGAGAAGCTCGCCGGTGGAGAGGGCGTGCGCCGCGCGCGTGTTGAGCAGCTCGAGGATCCGCGGGCCCAGGATCTCCTAAGGTGCGGTGCGGTGTAAACTTCTCCACACACACAGGGTGGTGGGGCAAGGGCCAGGCGACCCTCGCGACTCCACGTCTAGACGACAGGAGCCCCACGGCATCAAATGTGCAAGGCCCGGTGCGCGTGGGTGAGCCGTGTGTGTGTGTGTGTGTGTGTGTGTGTGTGTGTGTGTGTGTGTCTCGTGTGTGTCCTCCTTGTCGCTCTCGACGGTGAAATCGCCGTGGCCGACTGGAGTCGCGAGCCAGTTGCTGGCCATCTGCCCGCAGCCGCCGTAGGTGAAGACGGAAGAGGAGGACTGGGCGACGATCTGCCACTTTGGCATCGGCGAGAGAGCATTCGCAAGCTGCTCGAGCCGGCACCACCCTACAAGTTCAAGGGCGTGCGTGCGAACGCCGCAGCTCATACACCCAGCCCGCGGAGGCGGTGGCCTCACCGCGACGACTCCAGGCCCGATAGTCGCGAGGCGCGCCGCCCTCGTGCCGCCACGCGCCCGCGAGTACGACGAAGAGCGAGCACGAGGTGATGTAGGTCCCGATGCTGCTGATGGCGTCGAGGCGCGCCTCGACGTTTTCAGCCGCTTGCGGTATCGAGCAGTAGTCAATCCAAAGGTAGCCGTCGGCAAGGTGCTCGGCGAGGTGCTTGGCCGAGATGTGCATCTCGCCCCACACGAGCCGCTGCAGTGGCCACTCGTGGATGTCCAGCTTCCCGTTGAGCCCGTCCATGAGCAGCCCGCGCAGAAGGCGGAGCTTGCAGCCGTCCGGGTCCGGATGGGAGCTGCCGAGCCATGTGTGGCTCACAAAGAGCACGCACTCATCGTCCTCCGTGATTTCGTGCAGCAGGCCGCGCGCGGCCAGATCCTCGTGCCGTGCCAAATGTTTGTCGGGAAGCGCGATGAGGTCGCGCACGCGCAGCGCCCAGAGCGGGAAGCGGCGAGACATCGAGAAGCGCGCGTACTTACTGTTCTTCTCGGAACCGCGCAGGCTCGGTGGGGCGGCCCGCCATGGCATCGCGTTGCTGCTGTGTCACAATCAGCTGCTGTGTCTTCACCCTGGTACTACAACGAGTATCCTAGTGGGTTCGCTCGCGAGGCGGCCTCGGTGCGAGAATCACAATGCCAACCCCGAGGCGGCCG